AAATACATTTGTGTGCATGCATTTGTAAGTTTTTTATTGTGAAAAAAAGTCTTTAAAAAAATCAGTAATTACATGTGTACTTGTAGTTACAAATTATTAATGATGTTTTATATTATACATTTAAATTTATATCCAAAAATATGGGAAAAAATCTGTTAAATAAAAAGGAAAAATTGTGTAAAATTATTTCTTTTTTTTACAGTGTAGGTTATATTTTATAGATAGATAGATAGATAGATAGATAGATAGATAGATAGATAGATAGATAGATAGATAGATAGATAGATAGATAGATAGATAGATAGATCCTGTCACTACACTTAGTTGTACACTACTTGAAGTCTCTTATCTTGCTAATTGGATTCCCTTTTCGAAACGAGCACATCTCAAATGGCTTTAGACTATTAGCCATTTTCTTCGATTACTTAGTGAGTAAAGTGCTATTTTCTATCAGGAACTGGCTTTGCTATGATCATTATGTCTTATCAGCCTCAAGCTATATCCATAGTGGACTTGCTGTGAGTGTAATACAGTATCAGTACATTCGGAGAGCGCTGAGATGGAGTGGTGCTGTTTGCGGTACAGAGGATTATCCCTGATTTATCCCTGCCAATGTCCTCTGAAAGTGGGCCAGTACCATGTATTTGTGTGTTTCATCTGGCATATTCCTGTTGTACCTGCACACAACTATACAGTGGTCAAACCAGAGGGGAGAGTGAACCTGGTGCATGCAGATTACTACTGCTGGAGGTGGTCCAAGGTCACCTCAACGGTGCAAATCGTCTAATTCCTACTTGATACAAAATCACTGCAAAACATATTACTGTATATTTTAAATCCTAGATCACCAGCACACAAGTCACAGCCGGTCAGAAGGTCAGGGAACAAACCCACAGTATCCTTACGGTGGATGATCCCAGAAAGATTGTACACAATATGATGAAATAAATCTGTAAAGTTCAAGAGAGACACAATCCCATTAAACCATTTCAGGTACAGAAATAACAAATAACATTCCATTTTTTTTACTCAATGAAGACAATTACTGTCTGTAACTCTGATCTCTGCCTCTTGAAAATTATTATTACATTAATATAGTTATTGATAGTGTTCTTGAATTCGCCAGATGTTTGCTAACAAGCTGTCATTCCAGTTTCTATTTAACTCCAAGTGTCATATAACACTATGTGAGGGGGATCAGGCTCCTCTCCAAAGCTAATGCTGCACACTCACACACACACTGTAACACTGCAGTGGATTCAAGCCAAACCCAACATCCCAGCAGAGTTGAAAGGTGCCACCAGCTACAGCTGATGAATCTGCTTTGTTATGATGTTGCCCTGAAAGAGGTTTTTTTTTTCTGTTTGTTGTTTATAGATGGTTTCTTTGGCCTTTTGTTTTTCTTGCTCATCACGTCGCCTCAAAGTCAAACAAGTTTGTTATTCAGTCAATTTCACAACCTAATAGCTTCTGCAGGTGGACCAAAAATTAGTTTCCATCGCATCCACTTTATTAGCCGCGATGCCAGCCAGTTCAGACGAGCTAAAGTGGCTCTGACGGCTCTATCCCAAACCTTATGCTACTCTCTTAGTCAGTGTGTTACAGCTGTACTCCAAGCACAATGCTAAGTCACGGTATCGTGGCTGCATTCCAAACCAAATACTGCAGCCTCAGTGAGTGTATTATAACGTTGTTTGGAGCCAAATCCTCACTGTTTTCTATCTATTTGTGCCACTTGCTCGATTACTCTTTTGATTAGAGCAGGGGTGGACAATCCTGGTCCTCGAGGGCCACAATCCTGCATGTCTTAGATGTTTCCCTCTTCCAACACATCTGATTCACATGATCAGGATCGCTATCAGGCTTCTGCAGAGCTTGATGATGAGCTGATTATTTGAATCAAATGTGTTGGAAGAGGGAAACATCTAAAACATGCAGGATTGTGGCCCTCGAGGACCAGGATTGCCCAACCCCTAGATTAGAGGCTTCTCCACCGGAAAATGGGGGTTTGTTTGGAGCTGCAACAAGATGAACATTCACACAAAAGTGCACGATCAGATACGGTGCATGTTTATGCAAGTAAACTGAATTAATTCATAAGTTCTTGTGTGTTAAAGTGTGCGTCGGATGAGGCGGTCTGCTGGGATTGTGGAAGCCTGGAGGCGCCATATGGTCTCTGAGTCGCTCATAGACCCCTCTGTTCTCCTCTATCGCCTCTCCTCCTTCATCCCATCTTCTCCTCACTGTCTTCCCTTTCACTACGCCTCTTTGATCTCACATCTCTCTTCCTCCGCCTCTCCACTCCCCACTGTTTCCATCGTTTTCTCCCCGCTTCCTCCATTTCACTCTTTCTGTCACTCACATTTTATATTCTCCACCTCCAGTTTGCACTCACTTTAAGCTCTTTTTCCCGTTCGCTGTCAGTTTAAAACACTTTCAGACGTTTTTAAAACCTTTCTCTTTTGCTTTGGTGTCACTTTCCAGTAATTTGTCCTTTCAAGGGCTTAGCAAATGGCTTAATAGTTTTTTTAAATAATTTATTAATTCTAAATGGATCAGATCTACGTTGTTAAAAAAGGGCAAGTTTTGGATTGCTGTAGTTAAATGAAAATCTTGGTTGGTGTTTATCCTTCAGTGCACACTTATCTTTTTTTCAATTAAAGTTGGCAGCGAGACCCTTGAATAGAAATTTACCTTTTGAAAAAATGTTAAAATTTAATTAGTTAATTAACTCATGTAAATGCAGACTTGAAGGATAAATGTCAAAATGAGGACCAAACAGAGAGGATCAAGAGTGTTTCAGAACCGAAAGTTGTTCTTAATTAGTAGTTTAACAGATCTGTAAAACATAAATAAAAAACTTTAAAGTAGGAAAGTGTACTGAAAGTTATAAATCTCATTTTAAAGTGGCTTATCTTTAGTCCATCTTTCTCCATTCCACCAGGAAGTGTTTGAAAAAGCATCAAAATGAAAATCTTTCTTTGGAAAAATGGAAATATTTCCAAACTAGCTTAACTCATATACAGTAGATGTTTTGGTAACAAGGAATTTATGTAATAAACTGCAACAGAAATGCATTCAGTGATTATTTGGCACAGCAAAATGTACATCATTCTTTAAAACATCCCCTGCATCACTCTCTGTCCCGTGTCGAAATCCATTCTTCATCCATTAGTTAGAAATACGACCGACACTAGCTGACACTGACGAATACAAACTAGCTGCTGAAGGAGTCCATTTTTCTTACTGATCTGTTTCCTGTCCTGAGCACCTGTGCGATATTTCAGCAATGTGCACAGAATCAGCATCCTCTCTGTCGAATCTGTACGTGAACGTTATCCGCATTGGAATGAAACTCCTCCTTGACTGGTTTGATTGTCAGAACTGCAGTAACGTTCTGTATTCGCTGGCTGCCCCTTTCGACTCCTGTTACATGCATCTTTCAGTAACTCAGTATGTTTGTGTGAGAGAGTGAAAGCCTGTGTGGAGTAAAAGCAGAGATCAGAGAGCGTCTGAGCTTCGCCAGAGAAATACAGAGAGACACTGAAAAAGCAAAGAAAAAGGCAGCCCTTAGAAAAAAATATGCTCTGCCGGATTTATAATGCACATTCTGTGTCAATAATGTACATTAATTTGAACTGGGAGGGAAATTGTTTGGCTATTGGCATTTTATACTGCATTCAATACAACATAATTATAAAGATGAGACACTGAGGCCGAAGGAGAGCGTTTTTTAATGACTCATAAAGAACATTTTTATGGATTCTTATTCCTTAAAGGCTCAAACAACACTTTCAGGTGTGGTCATAAAGCTGACACCGATAATGGAGTTACATTGGGGTTGAATTTAATGCACCGACGGAGATGAGGTTGAAGGTAAAGCGAGGAAGGAAGAGGTGCGAGGTGCCGAGACGGAGACAGACTGAGGCCGTGCAGCCCGTGGGGAGGTGTATCTATCGACTCGGAGGTTCTACGTGGGTGTGTGGAGGTTCTGACAGATAGTGTTGCCCTGTTATTTAGTGTCCCCGGTGTTACACAGCAGTTTGTGGGGGAGTTTTTTTTTTTTTTTTTTTTCACCAGACACCTCTGGAACAATAACACCTCTCCAACAGGAAGACAAAAGATCCCCTATTTTCATGGTGTCTGTTTTTGCGAAGCCATTAATTTCCACAGCATGTGCTCTTGCTCGTGCCATATTAGGTGTAAAACAAAAGAGAGGAACGGATGCTCTCATGTTTGCCTATTAGCTGAGACTTGTCTGGAATCTCCCAGAGAGCAGGATTCATCCACTCCACCGACTAATCCACAACACACACACACACACATGCGTACAGCTGTCCTATCTGTTGCTATGCCACCCGACTTCTGATGGATTTTTGTTTGGACTCGGCGTGCCGGTGGTATGAGACGGGAAACGAGGGGAAGATTCTGGGGCTGAAAAAGGAAGCAGGGAGGAGGAGAATGGATGGGCATGAAGAGTGAAGGAGTGACGGGTGGAAAGGGGCAGCCAGATATGTGATGAAAATAAGAACAAGAGGAAGAATGTGAGGGGAAGAGAAAGGAAGGGAGAGGAAGCAACGAAGGTAGAAACAAAAAGACAGAAACAAATAACCTGCTGGTCCACCCCCATCATTCTGTCCTCACTCTGCTGCGTTCCTACAGACTGCAGCCTGTATTAATACATACAGTAATGTGGCATTTCACTAAAAGACTTGGCACGTGGCCACAGTATGCTCAGTGCCCTCATCCTTTGTGCTTGTGTGTGTGTGTGTGTGTGTGTGTGTGTGTGTGTGTGTGTTCAATCATCCCAGGCATGCTAACATTAGCAGCTGTCAAAACAGACACTGTTCCTCCTTTCATGCGTAGTTTGGACTACAATACATGTGAATCAAACAGAGCACAGTTGAGTAGGAACAGAGCAATGTTATTCTCTTGTCAGTTGCTGGAATGTGACTCATCTTTCCTCTCAATCTGCTTTTTTTTTGTTTTTGGCGACTCACCGGGCCTGGCCAAGTAGATGGTGGTGCCGGTCGGGGGCAGGCCGACGCCCCCGGGGAGGCGGGCGTGGGGGGGCATGACACCGAGCTCTGCGGCCTTCCTCTGTCGGAGGAGAGGGGCGACGGAGGGGGGGGGGGTCAAGCCGCCATGCCCGCAGCCTCCACGAGGGTGGCGACTGTGACAAACAAATCGCCTAAACAGAAAGAGAGCAAAACAAACACATCGTAATGTTGCATCAGTGTGTCATCAATCTCAGCTGCACAAACACACACGTGTACACACTTCCATACATGGCGGCGGCAGCGAAGCCTAAAGCAGCAGGACGTTTTCTGAGAATGCCTCCTTGCATGCATTAAAAACATATTTCCATGTTTGCGCGTGTGTTTGCACCTTCAGTCGCTGGTGTGCATATGGATGTATGTGTCTGTGCACGCATGACAAACAGCTCCCCGGTACTTCATAGGCATAAATAATAGATGTGTGTCTTTGGTAGTTTGCACAATCAGTTTGCCTTTACCGCAGACAGACCCCCTGCTGCTGCTGTCTGGCTCAGAGACTGACAGAGAAGAGAGAGGAAAGCGAGAGTGACACAGGAAGAGAGAGTTGTTGGAGGGGGGAAGAGAAGGTAATACTGGAGACAAATACATGAGGAGAAAAATAAAAGAAAGGATTCATGGAAAGAACAGAAGTGCATTTGTGCGTTATCGTGCAAAACTGCCCTTGAGCAAGTAAGGAAACGGCAGGATGCTCTTCGGAAACTGTTTGCTGAATAAATAAATTTAGCACAGCGGCAGTTTACCTAAATAAGCAGCAACATATCTGTCACCTCCGGAGTACAGTGAGTTCACCCGTATTCTGTGAAATCTATAAAAACGTCAACAAACTTTCCCAGCTAGACTCTTCACACCAAGACACTTCCTCAGGCAACAAACCTGCAGAAAACCTTGTTCTATTAATCTAAAATGTCATCATATAATACTGTTTGTCTCTTGTTTGCGGCTGTGCCGTTGTTTTCTTCACTTAATATCAGTGAATGATTTTTGTCTGTGATTAGTTGTGATCAGTTTGTCGCATCACTGGGTCAGATGGAAATAAATGAATGACCTATTCCAGCGTAATAAAACACCCCACCCACACGCTTTCAAAAAAAGACGAGTCTTCTTGTCACCGTTGAGTGATTACAGTGAAAATAGGTTTTACGAGTGGGGAATTATCATCAGAGGAAAGCTCGCTGGGGCCACGATGCGACGGTGCCGATGTACACTGTTGACTCCCCCCGGGCTAATCAGAGGAATACTTTTCCCAAAGTATCATCAAAAACCAATCAGCAGTGTGCGAAACGCTGCACTAATTAGATTAGGTGGTTGTTGTTCAACGGTTAGCTGTTTGTGGGGAAAAGTCACAAAAAACACAAGTAGGCTTTTTTTTTCCGCACGATTCATTTTGCTTTTAGGGTCGAGTGGAGGTGGTTGTGTATTTGTGGATGTGTTGTTTGTTGATGCGAGTGTCGACTTTACTGAATTTTTCTTTTTTAGTCTACTTTTTTTCTGTATTTTTGAAATGCACAAAAAAAATCTCTACAATTTTAAAAAATGAACTGTGA